TTCTATTTCGACAATGTTGGAGGGGGTACAAGTTGACTTCAGATTCTGCTTTACAGGGGTATATGGCCCTCACTCAAATTGGGAGAGGGTAGAATTCTGGGAAGAACTAGCAGCAGTTAGAGGATTATGGAATGACAGCTGGGTAATAGGTGGAGATTTTAATGTATGCCGCTTTGAGAATGAAAGACTCAATTGCATCAGGAGATCAAGGGCTATGAAGGTTTTCTCAGATTTCATTCAAGACATGGGTCTGGTGGACCTTCCCTTGCAAGGAGCTTTTTACACATGGGCTAGGGGAGAAAACTCTTTGCAGGCTTCTAGAATTGATAGGTTCCTAATATCTTCAGAGTGGAATGACTCTTTTGGCTTGGTGCATCAGAGAGCTCTTCCCAAAGTAGTATCAGACCATAGACCCTTAGTTCTGGAATGTGGTGATTGGACTGCCGAGCAATCTTACTTCAAATTTGAAAACATGTGGCTTCAACATGAGGGGTTTGGTGACTTGATCAAGCAATGGTGGCAGGGATATATGGTAAACGGCTCTCCGGATTTTATCTTATCCCAAAAGCTGAAGCTGCTAAAGAAGGATTTGGTTACATGGAACAGGGAAGTATTTGGAAAAGTTAGCACAAGAACACACAAAGCCCTAGAAGAATTGTTACTATTGGAGCAGGCAACTGAAGGAAGGCTGCCAACACAAGCTGAATCTAACAAGATCATGCAGCTGAAGATGGAGCTGCAACAGTTAGCAAAAGCTGAAGAGATTTCATGGAGACAAAAGTCTAGATGCTTATGGTTGAAGGAGGGAGACAGGAATACTAAATACTTTCAAAGAATGGCCAACTCTAACAGGAGATACAATTGTATTGACAGGTTACAAGTAGGAGATGATTTAATTGAAGACAAGGAACAAATCAAAAGTGGGATTCTGGATTTCTACAAGGAGCTCTACTCTGAGAATGAAAGCTGGAGGCCTAGTGCTACTTTTGAAGGGCCGGGAAGCCTGAACATTGAACAGAAGGAAGCTCTGGAAGCTGCTTTTGAAGAGGAGGAAGTAGTAAATGCAATCAATTGATGTGCACCTGACAAAAGCCCTGGACCTGATGGGCTGACTATGGCTTTCTATCAAAAATGCTGGGATACTATAAGGCAGGATGTCATGGGGACTCTTAATCACTTCCACAATCACTGCCACATGGTCAAGTCCTTTAATGCATCATTCATAGCACTTATTCCCAAAAGGAAAGGAGCAATTCAACTCAAAGACTTCCGACCAATCAGCCTCATAGGAAGTGTCTACAAGATTGTGGCTAAAGTTGTGTCAGAAAGACTTAGAAGGGTGATGGGGAACCTGATTTCAGGATATCAAAATGCCTTTTTAAAGGGGAGGCAGATTTCAGATGCTGCACTTATTGCAAATGAAGCCTTAGAATGGAGACAAAGAACTGGAGTACCTGGACTGCTATTCAAGCTTGATATTGAGAAGGCATTCGACAAAATCAACTGGCAATATCTCATTTCAATCCTAAGACAGATGGGATTTGGGGACAAATGGATCAAATGGATCAAATTCTCCTTCTCTATTGTCAAGTACTCTATCCTAGTGAATAGAAGCCCTGTTGGTTTTTTCTCTCCTAAGAGAGGAATAAGGCAAGGGGATCCTTTATCCCCCTTTTCTCTTTATCCTAGCAATGGAGGGTCTGAGCAAAATGTTGGAGAAGGCCAAACAACTACAATGGTTGGAGGGATTTGGTTTTGGCAGTAGGCCAGAGTGTTCAGTCTCTGTGTCCCATCTTCTATATGCCGATGATACTCTCATTTTCTGTGGTGCAGAGGAGTCCCAAGTTCAATATCTCAACATAACCTTGATGATTTTTGAAGCCTTGTCTGGGCTACACATTAACATGTCAAAAAGTGTCATATACCTTGTTAACTGTGTACCTAACCTGGAGGTGCTGGCTGAGATCATGAGTTGCAATATAGGTTCATTCCCAACCACTTACCTAGGCTTTCCATTGGGGGCTGGACATGGATCAACTGATGTATGGAATGGGGTTATTGAAAAATTTGAAAAAAGGCTGGCTTCCTGGCAGCAACAGTATCTCTCCTTTGGTGGCAGACTAACTCTTATCAGCAGTGTACTGGATAGCTTACCAAACTACATTATGTCTCTGTTTCCCCTACCAGTAAAAGTTCGAAAGCAGCTTGATAAACTTAGGTGCTCTTTCCTATGGGAAAGTAAGTCCAAAGATCACAAATTCCACCTTGTGAAATGGGATAAGGTAATACTTCCCAAATCACTTGGGGGCCTAGGAGTTAAGGATTTGTCACTGCACAATAAGAGCATGTTGATGAAATGGCTTTGGAGGTATAACCAAGAAGGAACGAGTTTATGGAAGGATGTAGTACAAGCTAAGTATGGCAGTGATAGTCATTGGTGCTCCAATATGGTTAATACACCTTATGGTTGTGGTCTATGGAAGGGTATCAGGAAGCTGTGGAACACTTTCTCTCTTAAGACAACTCTACAGGTGGGCAGTGGGGAACACATCCTATTTTGGAAGGATCCTTGGAATGGTCAAAGCACTTTGAAGGATGCTTACCCTACACTTTTCTCAGTTGCATCAAATCCAAACTCTACAGTTGCCCAAAACTGGGAGGAGAACACTTGGAGCCCAAGATTAAGGAGAAACCTGAATGACTGGGAGATAGAGGATTTGCTAGCTCTACTTGGCAGCCTTCAGAACATCTCCATCAACAACCAAGGCAGAGATAGACTTAAATGGGGCAACAGTAGAAGTGGTTCCTATTCAGTCAAAGCAAGCTACTACAACATGAGCACTAACAAAGCATTGATTGATCAGTGGCCATGGAAAGTTGTTTGGAAGACTAAAATCCCCCTAAGGTTAGTGGTTTTTGTTGGATAACACTACAGGGTGCTTGCCTAACTCAGGATAACCTTCTCAGAAGGGGTTTCCAACTTGCCAACAGATGCCATATGTGCCTTAGCAATCATGAAACAATCAATCACCTGTTCCTCCACTGTACAGTTGCAGCAGACATCTGGTCTATGTTTATTTCACTTTTTGGTTTACATTGGACTATGCCACGAAATGTCAGGGATGCCTCTTTGTGAGCTGGAGCTCCTGGAAAGTTGAGAAGTCCATCAAGAGAATCTGGTCTATGGTTCCTGCTGTTATTTTGTGGTGCATATGGACAGAAAGGAATCAAAGATGCTTTGATGGCATCTCAACTGTCAGACACAAACTTAAGGCTAGATGTTTAGTTTTACTTTTTTGCTGGGTGAATCACACCCCTGTGTATAACCCTGACCTTTTCTTGGACTTTATCAGCTCCATAGTATTGTAATAGGTTTTTGTCCTTCTTAGGAGCTGATATCTCCTTTTCTTTTGTAATCATCGCATCTTCTGGATGCCTTTTAATTAATATACAACTTACTTCATCAAAAAAAAAAACAATCCTGGGTTCACAATATGGCCTGCTGCATGCAAAGGTCGATGGAGTTGATCCGAGCACCTTCTATCAATGATCTCAAAAACTTTCTCATATTTCCTCAGATCTCCCTCAACTGACGCTTCAATGGTTTCTTTGACTCTATCCACAGCTTCATAAAGATAGCCCATTGGTGGTTTCTCTCCCCATCCACCATACAAAGTACCCTAATCAAAGGACCACCAACTTTAAGAGCCCGAACAACGTCATTCCAACGTATGAAGAGCATATTTGTTTCTCACGTTATAAATGATCCATGCCAAAGGAACTATCACCCACGCTTTCCTTCTCTTTATCCTACTCCATTTGATGCCTTGCTGGTTAGTACATTCTTCACCGTTTCTGGCGTAAGGTTCAAAGCTGTCTACCATTAGTGGTTTGCCGCTTGATAATGGATAGGCGATTCACGTTCTCTCCCAACGTTTTACACATGTACCATCAACTAGTATGCAAACTTTGTCCTCTTCCTGAGATACCCATCGCGTGGATAGTATACCTAGTTGCCAGCCACATGAAGAACACACCTTCGCTGGATATCTGGTTATCCAAATGGTGATATGCAGCAGTTCCGCATCATTCGCTAGTAGTCTGCAATAAAAAGATTTCATCGAAAAGGCTCCTTTGATATGCCATTCGACCTCCAAGTGTCCTTTTTGAGGATCGATATCTATGTCATCCATCAAAATTAATCAGCAACTCTACTCTAAATATATATTTGATAATTGGAGGTAATGATATTTTGGAGAAGATTATGATGAGATTAATGTTTTTTCGTTCCTTTTAGAGCCCTTTGATAACAATTGATTGATCCTCTTTTATTTTGATCAATTAAACAACTGATTTGTGTTTGCTTGTTAGCTTTAGTCATGCAGAAAACTTTCACATATTTGTTTTCAAGTTGTAACATCAAAGAAAAAGGATATTAACAGTTCTTTGTATAATATTCAAATAGAACCATAGAATCATGTGGTGGTCGTTAAATACAACACACCTCTCTGGGCTATATTTTTGTCTCCTAATTTCATTCTTCCACAAATCGTGTTTGGTCGTAATTCTAGTAAAAATATGAGAAATAAGCCCCTAGGGTCAGTTGGTAAGAGTGTGTGATGTGTGGATTAGATGCACGTCTTGGAATCGAATCGCTACTAACAAAAGCCTGGTATTTAAGTGGACAAGGGTAGAGGGGCCATTACCAATCGAGTTTTCAACTGTGGACCACTGCCTTCGGGGGTTTTCTCGGTTATATAAAGAGAAATAAAAAACGATAATCATCTTCTGGTCATAGATTCTAGGTCTTGAAACTCATAAGTGGGTTGATAGTTGTTATTTTTGCTGAAGTTTATGAAACATTCTAATGGCCGAACTACAAAAACCTAAAATGAGATATAGTAAGTTAGTTATTTTTGAAATTCTATCACCTCTGGATGCTCTATTACTTGTTTTTGGGCCAGTATGATATCTTCGTAATCACTTTGGGATATTGTCAGGTATGTTGTTCAGGCCATGGAAAAAATGGTTCTCTGTCAGTTCTTCAACAATCTATCCGCCCAGAAATGATAACCCAAGTATGTTAGCTCTCTTTCAGTTGTTTCTGATTTTAGTGTTCTGTGAGACTTTGCCGATACTCGCATCACATCATCGTGGAAAATGATTTAAATCCTGTCATTGCAAGTTATTTGCTTAACTTCAGAGCTTGTATTGTAACTTTATGATTTCTTCCTGCTTCTTTGTCATACTCGTTTTGTGGGAGCTTCAGAAGTTTCTTGTGCATATAGCTATGCAGTAAGAAAAGCTATTTGGATGTTTGTTTCTATTTGGTTGTGTTTTTTATTTTTGGCAACACATCCTTTATTTCATTCACGCGCACACACTCATTTACAGTTAATTGTCCTTTGAAGAGTTAGTGTTTTTAATCTTGTATCATACTTTGTGAAATACGTTTTTGAAAGTTGGATTTGCTGATTAATGGTGTATATTAACTTGAAGTGGTGAGAGGTTCATATCTTCTGTATTTATGCATGTATACATATAAGAAGAAACTAGCAAGCTCTTTCTTTTCTTATCTAAACGGTAGCTTTTGGAAAAATGGTTTGCTTGAGAAGTCATTAAAAAATGGTCGGATAGCTCTTGGAGGTGACGATGTCATTGGAATGATCAATGATATTAGGCAATTGCATCAGAACGAGCAACAGAAGTAATAGCAATGCTGCTAGAATGGCCTCCAAATTTTTTTCCTGAACAGCCACCGAACTGAGACAAGAATATTATGAAAAGAGAAAATTGAAGGAGAATTAACTGCTTAATGACTTGATTCTACAACGATGTGTAAGCGAGGCTCCTTATATAGAGGATTTCGGTTGCATATAATAAGTTAAGTAGTTATAGTCTTCTCTTAACTGGGTAAGCAGATATTCAATTATACTTTATCCAAAAAATTGTAAATGCTCTACTATAAATGCAGAATATTCTATGCTATCTAAGAAAATTTTGTGAATCAAGAAGTATTCTGAATCTGGCACATATAGTATCATTAATTCTCTTGACCTTCAACCGGTGGAATATGTGGAGCTGTGCTCAATTTTTTTTTTTAAAATGGGGTTGCTGTGTTGTTGAGAACCTGATCAATTCTCTGTCATCTTGCTGAAATTTTCTTTGCCTATTTTCTCTTCTTCTTTTTTTTTTGGGGGGGTGGGGTGGGGGGTTGGGGGTGGGTGCAGGAAAGAAGGAGGTCATCTTATTTTTCTTCCTGTTTCTTGTTTATTCATTACATTAGTTTTGAAATGCCTTGGCCTTCCTTTTCCTTTTTACTAGTTTTTGCAGTATGCATATCCTCAAGCTAGCTTTCGGACTATGTTTCCTCCCAATCTCATTTGGACCCCTCACTAATCTTGCAATGCATGACACATGTTTTTTTCCTTTGAAATGGGCATGGCACATGTCATTTATTGTTGAAATGTTATTCAGATGGTTCTCTATGCGGCGAGACTTGAAGAAAATTCCATGAATTGTCTAGTTTTATGTTTAATGAGCAACATGACTGGTGGTGACTTGAAGGAATAGCTACTATAGTTACTTGATGTATGGGCACCTTACCAGAAAGTTCAATTTTTATTGAAAATTTTGCTGAACAGAATTGCACTGTGTTTTGATGTGTACCATGATACTACCGTTTTCATGTTGAATGATGTGATTGTTCTCTTTGCTTTTCTTTATTCGTATCTTGATATCAAAGGAGACGACTTTGATTGTCTCTGAGTGCTAAGCATTTTAGGAATTTCTATGTTTCTCTGCATTCTTAGTTACACAACATTGACTAGGATCAAACTTGGACTAATGGGAAATGTTCTATGATGTTTTTTTAAATTAATCTTAGATATTCAGCATATCTTGACTCTGCCTGTTAGTGAACAGTATACATAAATCTAGCTGGAGAAAGTAATTTTGAAGCTTAATTTTACTTCGTGAAGGAAGCCTTGCCAGGTTGCAAGGGAATTTGGACTGTTTACCACAAGAGCGCGCGTAGCCATCTCAATGAATCCTCAAGGGTGGCAGATGAAGAAGATGAATATCATGCATATTTGATTATTAGTTTGGAGACTCGTACGATGGTATCCTTTTCGCTTCCAAATATATAGTATTTTCTTTATTTTTCAATCTACGCTTTATAGCTGGAATTGAAATCTTATGTTGAGGCCCATAACTTTATTTTCTTATCTTCTTATGGCAGGTTCTGCAGACTGCAAATAATTTGGAGGAGGTAACAGAGAATGTCGATTACTATGTTCAAGGAAATACTATTGCTGCTGGAAATCTGTTTGGGAGGTGATTTCATTTGCTCAATGATTATGTTCATATCTTCCCTTGCCCTTCCAATATCTTTTTGGCATATAGTATTTGATGTCTTCCCTAACTTTGTGCTGCTAACATGGGTATTTAGGAATTAGACAGTGCACAACTATGGCTCCAACATGCATATGGACTGTGTGGAAAGAAAAGAATAATAAATGTTTTGAGAATAAAAGTAGTTACATACAATGTGTAAACTGTGTGCAAAGAAAAGGATAATAGATGTTTTGAGAATAGAAGTTGTTACATACAATGTGCAAAGAGAACTGTTGTAGATGCAGAATCAGTTGTAGATTCTTTTGACTCCTTGTAAGACACAAGGTTCCTGTAATCTGTAAATATTTGATTGCCAGTACCATCTTGGTGTTGATGGATAAACTGTTACCTTACTAAGAAAAGAAAAAAAATAGTTCATGGTACAAGACCCAAATGTGCACAAATGCTGTCTAACCTTTCCTTTCCCTTCTTGGCCTGTTTAGTTTAGATTATTTTGGTTTGTTTGATTACTACTCCCTCCGTTTAATTCTGTCCGCCGGCATTGTTCATTTGATAACTACTCCCTCCATTTCATTTTGTGTGTATGGAGTCTGTGATATTAAGTTGACTTATATATTAGATTTTTGATAGCAGAGTAAAATGTTAAAGTAGTGGGTGAAAAGCTAGAGAAAATATCAACTTTCAAGTATGATAGAGAAAATATCACATCAAAGTCCATAATTGGAATAATTTAATGATTTTTAATTCTTGAAAGTTGCATAATGGAATGGCCTCAATTTTTGTTTTTGGAAGTACCAAGGTAGAAAGTGGTCATGTAAACTGAAATGACGAGAGTATAATTTATACATCATTTTGTTAGTCATAACTGGTTTCGTTTTTTTTTTGTAATAATCACCTTTTAAAAAGAAAAAAGAAAGGGGAAATATGTTTCTCCTGATTTTATGTTCAAGAAGTCGTGCAATAATTTGGAGGAGATTGTCAAACTTCCTCCCCATATAGGTACTTACTACTGATTCAAAAGGAAGGGTTTGATGATGGCCCTGCTTTCTTAAATGAGAATACGTCTTACCTTATAAAAAATGAGAATACGTTATAATCTATTCTTTCATTTATGGCTGTTATGAATGACAATGTAGGAATTTAGTTCCTTTATGTGGAATTTGGTTTCATCTATGCCATTGGCTGAATGCTTTTCAAAATTGACCAATTAGATCTAATTCATTTATTTGATATCCTTCAGTTGCTGGTTATGTTGAGCAGTTGCACGTGTTTTTTAATTTTTTCAAAGTAGCTTAACATTGTAACTTCTGTTTATGTAGACGTCGAGTAGTCCAAGTGTTTGCTCATGGCGCTCGAATTCTTGATGGTGCATTTATGACTCAAGAACTGAGCTTTAAGGCTTCAAATGTGGAATCTGGCTCGAGTTCTGATAGTCCTATCGTATCTTCTGTTTCGATAGCTGACCCTTATGTTTTACTAAGAATGACAAATGGAAGTATTCAGCTTCTTGCAGGAGGTATATCTACTAAGATAAAACTTATTTGCTTTTGTAAATTTCTACCCCTCTTCTTGCAGTGCTAACCAACAAGTAAACTCTTTCTTTGTTGCTTAATTTGATAAAATCTTGTTCTAGCTTAACAGATTACGGATTTTATATAGTGTTGCTTATTTGTTCTATGCTAGTTCACCATATTAGTTGAGAACATAACTTTGTAGAGTATTTGCTTAGTTGTTTTTTACATGCTCTTTACGTTGTACTTTAACTACTGGCAAGAAAAACTATCACAACGCCCCTTAGTACCTTTGTTATCAAAACATAAATTGACACTGAGAGCATATTGATGTAGTCCGTATTAATCGCGATAGAAATGAAATATGACTTAACTGACCCTAAGATGAACTTGAAACAAGCTAATACATGTAGCACATTTCCCAAGGGATTTACTACTGGCCTGAATCATACTGTATTAGTGAATCAAGCTGTAGTCAAAGTAGATGCAGTTATTTCTGAAAGGCCTGGGCTAGTTAATATGCTCCATAATTCGCAGTTTAAGTCTTTCCCTTTTTCTTGAAACATGTCTATGTTTACGCTCGACTTTTGCATTCATCCTGTGTTTCTCTTCCACACTGACATTATTGTTCCTCTTCAGATCCATCATCGTGCTCTGTTTCTGTTACTGTTCCATCAATATTTGAAAGCTCAAAAAAGTCAGTATCTGCTTGTACTCTATATCATGATAAAGGCCCCGAACCTTGGCTGAGGAAGACTAGTACTGATGCTTGGCTTTCTTCTGGCATGGGAGAGGCAATTGATGGTGCAGATGGGGTAACCCATGATCAGGGTGATGTGTATTGTGTTGTTTGCTATGAAAATGGTACTCTTGAAATATTTGATGTTCCCAATTTTAGTTGTGTTTTCTCCGTCGATAAATTCGTATCTGGAAGGACCCACCTTGTCGACACCTTTATCCAAGATCCAGTCAACGGTCTGAAGAAAAATACTGAGGATGTTATGGGCCCTGGACAGAAAGAGAATGCTAAGGACATGAAGATAAACGTGGTGGAGTTGATGATGCATAGGTGGATAGGGCTATATTCCCGCCCTTTTCTTTTTGGGATATTAGCTGATGGGACGATTCTGTGTTATCATGCATATGTTTTTGAAGGATCAGAGAATTCTTCTAAAGTTGATGGATCTGTTTCGTCACAGAATTCCATTGGTCTTAGCAGTACAAATGCATCTAGGCTCAGAAATTTAAGATTTGTTCGGGTTCCAGTAGAGAATTATGCAAAGGAAGAGATGCCATCTGGAACCCCATCACAGCGAATGAGTGTCTTTAAGAATATTGGTGGTTCTCAAGGATTATTTCTCACCGGGTCCAGGCCATCTTGGTTCATGGTATTTCGTGAACGACTTAGAGTACATCCACAGGTTATTGTTTACTTGCTCCCATATGTATTTCACATATTCTAGTTGTTTTTTTCTGGGTAAAGAGTCAAGGGATGGGTGAATTTAGATTAAACTGATGCTCGTTTAGGCTGCGTCTTGTGGCGTCTGGCGTGAAGAATGAATCAAGAAATCATTGCCTTGCCTTGAAGCACAACTTTCCTGGCACCACAAAGCCATTTATTCCACCTATATCCTTTGTTATCTAAGCTACAGACTTTTCACCCTGGGTCGTTTATGCTTTATGTTTGCTCTTCTTGATAAGTGTTGCTTTGTTGCTGCAGCTGTGTGATGGACCTATCGTTGCATTCACTGTTCTTCATAATGTCAACTGTAATCACGGACTTATCTACGTAACAGCCCAGGTATGATAATGAAATTGTGCTTGTTCCGACTTTCATCTGTCTCTGCTCATGTATCCATGGATTGCTTGTTGTCATTGCAGGGCACATTAAAAATTTGCCAGCTTCCATCATTCCTGTCCTATGACAACTATTGGCCAGTGCAGAAGGTGGGAATTCATTTTTTCCGACCAGCTAACTGATTTTCTTTCCTTGTTATATGTTTGCTCAATTTTACACTATGCATGTTACAAATATTGTTTTCAAATGTCATACTTTTTTCTAATGTTATTTCTATGTTTTTCTATTTTATACAATTGCAAAAGACATACTTCTAAGGAAATTCAAAAGCTTTTGTTTTTTATTATATCTTTTTAAATTGATCCTTCAGATATATTAGGATTGTTTTGCTTTTGATGAATTAAGACATCACAATAACTGTGCTTGTATGGATATCCTTTTTGTCGATGGAGGTGTAAATTTTTGGCATTTCCCATGAGAGCTTCAAACAAAGATGATATGATTGTGGAATGGATAACTAATTGATTGATGAAATTGATTACTAACTGAAGAAAATTTGTCTAGTGGTAAACTAATTGATTGATTAGAGAGACTTATTAGTATAATTTCATAGCTAGAGACAATTACATCTAATAGTTGTTGAACTACTAGTCTGCACAAATAACTATAGTGATGCATATAAACTGTTGCGAACATTTTCAAATTAATTAGAGTACAATATCATTGCTGCAGAAAGTTGATATTTATTTCTCTCATTGGATATCCGAATTTTAACATTTCCCTTGTCTTTCGTACCTTTTATTTTGGGACTGAGATGCAGATACCACTGAAGGGAACACCACATCAAGTTACTTATTTTGCTGAGAAGAATCTTTACCCGATTATAGTTTCAGTTCCAGTGAGTATATGTTCCTGCTTCTGTTATCTGTTCTTGGTTTGTTAATAATGTCTTAATATATGTTGTAAGGCTGGTAATTTCAGAGATGAGGCATAAACGTACACCAACATGAATATTACATAACCTTCCCACGCATGAATGCACAACATATTAGTCGACTACAGTTATGGTCAGCTTTCTGTGTGACCTCCAGATAGTAACCCCCCCCAAGCAGTCAAACACTTACAAAGGAACACAAATAAAATAAAAGGAAAATGTGAATCATTGGCGGAAAAGACAGGCTAGCAGTAATAATTACTGGCTTAATGGAGTTCTCATACAGTTTTACTTATTTCTGACAGGTTCTTAAGCCATTGAATCAAGTCCTATCAACTATAGCGGATCAAGAAGTTGGCCACCAGTTTGATCCTGATAATATAAATTTTGAAGGGAACTATCCTATAGAAGAATTTGAGGTGCGGATTATGGAACCAGACAAATCTGGTGGGCCCTGGCAAACAAGGGCAAGTATTCCTATGCAAAGTTCTGAAAATGCTCTGACTGTGAGGGTGGTTACTTTACTTGTGAGTTCAATTTTATTCCTCTTCTTTTTCTATTTATTTTTTGTTTCCTTATAGAAAAGAACTACTACTATAGTAAAAGAAGGGAACAATTTAATAACAAGTGCAATCTCTCCTCCTCCTCAATTACGACCTTCTGGTTGGATTCTTAACCTCCTCCGCAGCTTGTGAAGGTCAATCTTATGGACCACACTTTTACCATTCAATTCTTGAAGGTCAAGTTACCACCTTTTGGTTGGATTCTTATCATTGAGCCTGGTTTATTGAGAATACAAAATCTGGGGAGAATTAGTTTAAGAGAATCTACAACTTTAAAATCCAATTTGGGAAATACAAGATTCTGTTTCTAGTGATATATATATTCAGCTCCTCTTTGCATTTTCTCTGGTTGAATGTTACAGTTCCCTAAACTAGAGTTTTTGAAGCTCCAGTTGCCCTTTGAAAGTTTCTCCTTTAAGTGATCTGTTTGAAAATACATAACTATGGCAAGGAAATTTTTTACTTCCCTAACTGTCACTAGGTCAACTAAAATACTACCTGGAGTTTTTTCTCCTTCTCTTCCAAACAAAATCCCCACCCACCCAAAGGAAGAAGAGGAAAAAAGAAGAAGCAAAAACAGGAGCACTGCTGGGACAGCACTTTAGTAGGAATGAGGAGTCTTTCACAAATTGATAGTTTCCTCTATCTTTCAATGTGTACAACAGAATACAACAACCAGAGAGAATGAAACACTATTGGCAGTTGGAACTGCTTATGTGCAAGGGGAGGATGTTGCTGCAAGAGGGCGTGTGCTTTTGTTTTCTATAGACCGAAATGCTGATAATTCTCGAACTTTGGTATGTTCCATCACATGGCTTTTCACTTTCATATTTCTTTTTTTTTGTTGGCAAAATGAGACCTTTCCCTCTGTCCTTCGAAATCGTTTCAGGTCTCAGAAGTCTACTCAAAGGAATTGAAGGGTGCTATATCTGCTTTAGCTTCACTTCAAGGTCACTTGTTGATAGCTTCTGGTCCTAAAATTATCTTGCACAAATGGACGGGGTCTGAGTTGAATGGAGTTGCTTTTTGTGATGTTCCTCCACTCCATGTTGTGAGCCTAAATATTGTAAGTACAATTCCTAGTGGCTTTTCCTTCACTTCCAAAAAACCTTTTTATAATCAGATCAAACACTTCCAGTGAATATTAAGTACTTGGGTGTTCATTCAGTACTTTTTCCCTTTCATCTGGGGAAGGTACTTAGATTATGGTGCCTCTGAGAATTAATCATATAGAACTCATGATGAATTAATCATATAGAAGTGTCGGGGCGCACCTAGATTGAGGAGTTACAATCATAATTTGGTAAAAAGTGCATAGATTCAGTCATAATTTGGTGAATCCAAGTGGCGCAGTTCCTATATTTTCTGCAGTATTAGTAACAGTTACAAAATTTGGGGAGACAAATCATTTTGCGACAGCTCAGCCCGCTCTAAAATCGTCCGCCCTGCAATCCGCCAAGTTTATGCTTCAACAGGGATCAAAGTATAACCTGAACAAAATGTGATGAAGGGAGCAAGCAATCTGGTATTGGTTTATAGGTTCTCCTATCAATAGTACTTGCAGTTGGAATAATCATTTTTGGTGGCTCAAACTAGAAAACGAATTGCATCGACTGTTGGTAGGAGCACATAACTTGTTTTCATTTTTTATTCTCAAAATCCTTGTCATTTTTCAAAAATGAAAGATCTAATTGTATAATACTTTTCATTCTTGAGCAAAACTATATCGAACCGTGATAGTATTTGGAGTTTCTTCCTTTACTTTCTCTAAGCTTCTCACAATTAATATTCTGAACTTTTCTCATGCCTTTTTCGTTCAATATTGTAAATGTTATAGGTGAAGAACTTTATTCTTCTTGGAGACATTCACAAGAGTATATACTTCATCAGTTGGAAAGAGCCTCAGCTTAATTTATTAGCTAAAGATTTTGGTTCCCTTGACTGTTTAGCAACAGAGTTCTTGATTGATGGTAGCACTCTCAGTCTTGTAGTTTCAGATGATCAAAAGAATGTGCAGGTATATTTTATCTTTATATTTTGTCTATTTTGTTGAGGCTATAACTTTCTCATTCTATTTGAAGGCCATCATTCTTCTGTGAAAGTTGAAGTTCACACAACAAATTCCATCTAATAGCTTGTAAGCACCAAGCTCTGTTGGACCTTTAAGCGCAAAGTGCAACTAAAGTATGGGCTTTAGCAAAAAAAAGCGCCAATGAAGAAAACAAAATAAAAAATAGAATTATAATGCAAGAAATGTAACTATGAACACAACAACAATAACCCAGTCGGATCCCACAAGTGGAGTCCGGGGAGGGTAATGTGTACGCAAACTTTACCCCTACCCTGGATGGCAGAGAGGCTATTTCCGAAAGACCCTCGGCTCGAGAGGAAGAATATGAACAAGTAAATAACAACAAGGCCAAGAAAATGATATCAACAATGTAAGGACCGGAGAAAAAATAAATGGAAGAAAGAAGTATCAATAGCAATAGCCACAAGCAGTAATACGACATGGTACTAGAAAACCGAAGCAGAAGATAGTAGTAAAACAACCCTAATACTGGCATTCTAAGAATCTAAGACAATGTACTAGTCAACTAGCCCTAATAATCCTGGAACAGATCAGAAACACACACGACGAAATCTTCGACCTCCATACCTTCCTGTCAAGGGCCATGTCCTCGGTAAGCTGAAGTCGCGCCATGTTCTTCCTTATCACCTCTCCCCAGTACTTCTTATGCCGCCCTCTACCAATTCTCCTACCTACCAGCGCCAGCCGTTCACACCTCCTCACTGGGGCATCTAGGCTTCTCCTTCTCACATGCCCGAACCATCTAAGCCTCGCTTCACGCATCTTTATCTTCTATAGGGGCCACGCCTACTTTCTCCCGAACAATGTTTGAAAAAGCGATCGCTTCGGCGCTTTAAGCGCGAAGCGACCGGCCATCGCTTTTCCCAGCCTGAGGCGACTCGACCATGTGAAGCGTGCGCTTCAGTTGACGAAGCGACAGAAGCGACGAAGCGCTCGCTTCTGTTAAGAGGGGCCTTTTTGAAAAAAAAAAGTTTGGGTCTGTCTTTTTATTATACAAAACAGACCCCTAAGACCAAAATTGAATATTTCTCTCTTCTTCGATCGACATTGCTGCTGCTAGGGTTTCAACTTCCTCCATCCAGTCCAGGTAATTTTTCTGCTTCTCCTTTCTTCTTCTCATTTTTTTCTTTCTTCTTCTTGTTCCCGTCGAGCGTCTGCTCTTTTTTTCTTTCTTTTTCCTTCTTTCTTCCTTCTTCTTTTCTCTTCTCTTTTTCTCGTTTTTCTCGTCCAGCGTCTGCACAGCTAGGGCGGGCGCTNGTTTTCTTTTTTTTTCCCCCTTTATTCTTCTTAATTTTAATATGTATATTAGTTTTTAAAATTACTTATTATATATATGTATTATATTTTTCAGTTTATTTGATTTTTACTGTGTATTTCAGTTTGTAAAATTAATTTTTTTATATATGTTATATTTTCAGTTTATTTAATTAATTTTATATGTATTTCAGTTTAGAAAATTAATTATTATATATATATATATATGTTATATTTTAGTTTATTTGATTTTTTTAATGTGTATTTAAGTTTATAAAATTAATTATTATATACATGTTATATTTTCAGTTTGATTAATTATTAATGTGTATTTCAGTTTATAAATTAATTATTGTATATATTATTATATATATAATATGTAATTTAAGAATTGCGCATCACTTCAATGAAGCGTGCGCTTCGCTTTTGAAGCGAGGCGAGCCCTTGTCGCTTTTTTGCGCTTCGCGCTCTCAAAAATACTGCTCCCGAATATCCTCATTCCTAATCTTGTCCAACCTAGTGTGCCCGCACATCCATCGTAACATCCTCATTTCGGCTACGTTCATCTTCTAGATATGAGAGTTCTTGATTGGCTAGCATTCTGCCCATACAGCATAGCCGGTCTAACCGCCGCCTTGTAGAACTGACCCTTAAGTTTCGGTGGCACATTCTTGTCACACAGGACGCCGGATGCTAGCCTCCATTTCATCCATGCCGCCCCTATACGGTGTGTGACATCCTCGTCAATCTCCCCGTCCCCTTGGATAACTGATCCGAGATACTTGAAACTTCCTCTCTTGGGGATGACTTGTGAATCAAGCCTCATGTCCATATCTGCTCCCCCTGACACTACGTTGAACTTGCACTCTAGGTACTCCGTCTTTGTCCTGCTCAACTTGAAACCCTTAGACTCTAAGGTCTGTCTCCAAACCTCCAACTTTTCGTTGACACCGCCTCGCGTCTCATCAATCAGTACTATGTCGTCAGCGAATACCATACACCATGGCACCTCCCCTGGAATATGACGTGTTAATGTATCCATCGCCAAAGTAAATAAGAACGGGTCGAGCGCAGATCCTTGGTGTAACCCCATCCCAACCGGGAAATGTTCCGAGTCTCCTCCCACTGTCCTCACCCGAGTCTTAGCTCCATCATACATGTCCTTAATCACTCTAATGTACGCTACAGGAACACCTCTAGCCTCCAAGCATCTCCAAAGGACCTTCCTAGGGACCTTGTCGTACGCTTTCTCTAGGTCAATAAACACCATATACAAATCTTTCTTCCTATCCCATCCCTGTACTGTGATAAGCCACGTATCTTCCATACTTATTCAAGGAGGAAGAAGCAAAGAAATGTAGGAGAAGATATGATTTGCTTCTCAAATTTCTGGAGCTTTCATACATGGAAAATTAAGCAGTTTCCTACTGTTATTAGAAGAAGTTATCTGTTAGCAGTTTATTATGGTTACTAGAAGTTATTTGTCTTTATCCTAACTTGGTTATGGAGTAGTTATGGTCAGCCTCTATATAAATAATAGATATAGTAATATGTAGGTGTGTTGTAACTATCCTTTATATGCAGTCAGACTATTTGTGAGATACGAGATGCTTGTGTCTCTCTATTATCAATAATATCAGTGTATTTCTATCTCTTTTTCCATTATTAAATCTCTGTTCCTATCATACTGTTCCACCAACATCCTAACAAGATGGATGGCTTCCGTAGTCGTACGTCCCGGCATGAAACCGAACTGGTTCTCGGAAATAGACACCGTCCTTCTAACCCTCGCTTCTACCACCCTTTCCCACAGTTTGATAATGTGACTAAGCAACTTGGTACCCCTATAACACAAACAATAATTATTTGTGCAAAGGAATGGGAAAATGTAACTAAACTATAGGTATGCTGCTGTGCCTGTAAAGTCTGAACCTATCAGTTTAAGTCGCACACGCCTTGGCACCTTTGATGCTTACACTAAAGCACCAATTAAGCGAGGCGAAGTGCACAACCCGGGTTTCACAGAGCTTCGGGGCTTAAGTGTGCCTTAGGCAAGCCTTTTACAACATTGGACACCCCTAAGGTGCCTCTGTGTATGGATGGTTGGTGTAGAGAATCATATTCTGGTGTAGGTTCTCTACTTTTTGGTATACGTCTTGTATACGAGATTTTCCCATCATTAATAAAGTTGTTTACTTTATCAAAATGAAAAACAACAAGACTGGAGCCTTTCTGATGTAGTTCAATATAGCTTTTTTATCTGATGCAAAAGTTTCTGCCTTTTGGATGACCTTCCTGAAAGTCACTTGTATTTTATGTTTTCTGTTCTGCCCCCCCCC